TCCCCCGTCCTGTTCTCCCTCGGTGGTATCATCCTGCCTCCCCGCTCACTCCCTTGTGTCTGCTCCGCCCCTAAGTCTCCTCTACAGCAAGGAATCAAGAGTGTTTTTATTTCTCCTTGAAGGGTACAGATGGGGCGGGGCAGGTGTGTGTGTGTGTGTACCAGCCACGAAGCACTGGCACTCCTGGCCTCTTCCTGGCTTCCCTGCAGACAGAGTCCTTCGAGTCGAAAAGAAGAACAGCTCCCAAACTCTCCCTGCGTTCTGCCCGGGAAACCTGGAAGCGGAGACCAGAGTGCTGGGTGGAAACGTGGAGGCCTTCCACCCCATCGGGTCACTTCCCAGAAGACAAGAGAACTGCAAGGGATTGGGGTGATAGGGCCTCATTCCCCCGACAGTTTTCCTTTGAATATCAGAAAACAGCATGCAGGGCAGGGGCCCAAGAGAAGGCATGGACATGTCATGAGGCTGCAGACAAGATCTTTCTTCCTTTCAACTTGAACCGGCCCTCCTTTCTTGGGGCCGGCAGTCGTCAGGCAATGTCATCAATGGGGTGGGCACAGGCTTAGGAAGGCTCCTCCCCTTAAGAAGCCCACAGTCCAGTGGGTCAGAAAAGACATAGTAGTTGGTGAGAGACCAAAGGATGCGTACAAGCAAAACATAGAAACAAGTGAAACCCAACAAAATCAGAAAAGTATTTCCTGTAGAGTAAAGGCATGTATTTTTCTATGTGATCTCAGAACAGGCCATTGGGTTTAATTAAATATTTATGGAAAGTATAGAAGTGTTACATGGACTATCTATTTTCAAAAAAAAAAAAAAGTATTAAAATGCAACAAAATGTGCACATCACCACAACTATAGTGGTCATCATGTCATCTTTGGTGATTCATAGGGCACTTCAGAATTTTGTGGTCATTCTTGGTTCATTTTTCAGAATATGCTACCTAAGAGGCAATTAATGAAAAATTCTAATAGAATATTAGAGTTTGTTGGATCTTGATGATGTAAACTCCAAGAGGGCAAAGGCCTCATCTGTCTTGTTTATTGCTATCTACTTGGGATGTACAACAGTGCCTGGCATACTGTAGGTACTCGATAAATATTTTTGAATGAATAAGGCACTCCTGGAAGAGGACGAGAATACTTTCAGCATGCAGGGGGACATGCCTCCTCTTCTTTCAATTTATACTCCAGCTCTCAAGTTCAATTATAGACTAGAAATGGAAGGTCAGTTTTTGACTTCTCTACCCAACAGGATGGTAGATTACCTGTGCCTTGGGGAATGAAGTTCATGGTTCCAAAAATGAATGAATTGGGGTTTTCTATTTCAAACGCATTTCAACAGAGACCACTTTCCTCTTCCAAGTATGCAAGTCATTCTTCGTACCACTAGAAAATGTCCAAATGTCCTGTGGAGTTATCTATACAGAGCAATGAGCAGTAGCCTTGAGAACTCACTTGCATGTCATCGGCAAGTATGGCCCGCGCATGGGACGAGATACTAGCTAATGCCTAGAGCTCTTACTGTGTGCCAGGCACCAGATTAAATACTTTATATATATCAACACACTTAGTATTCCAACAATTGATGAAATAGGTACCATTGCTAACTTCATTTTACAGACGTGGACACTGAAGTCAAGAGATTAAGCAGCTAGTGCACCGTCAGCAGCCAGGAATCCACCTCTGGCCACCTGGCTTGGATCGTAACCACTTCACTCCACTCCCACAGGACAACTGACAGCAGTTTAGGGGAAATCTGGGTCAGGCCAATGCAGTGAGGTCATCATAGTAGAGGTCTAGAGAAAAATTTTGGAAAGGTTGAGGGAACTAGGGTTAAATAATTATAAACTATTTATGTCCCCTGACAAAAATAAAAACCCCTGAGTTTACCTAACAATTGATTATTGATGTTGTCCAGATAATATCCTGGCTGAATGAAAGCCTGTGTAATACAAAGTGGGCTATACCTGGACATTAGGAATTCTTAAAAGCCATTGGACATTATTCAATCACATTCTTATGGACCAAGGGCAAGTTTCCAGAAGGGATCACAGAGTCGTCTCCTTCTAGGAAAAAAAAAGAGTAAAAAATTATCCTATTTATTAGGACTAGACTTTTGGTTCTAAGTGAGTGGTCCAGAGTGGCAGGTAGGGAGTTTTAGTCATAGCCACTCACAAAATTTAGGAGGACCCCACAATTCTGAGCCTTGTCCCCTCCTACCTATCAGGAGAATCAAATCTGTCACCATCTTAGAGCACAGAAACACCAAAGTCATAGAGATTTTTAGTGTCTATGAGCTAATTTACTGTTATTTGTTTTGCCTGTGAGACTCAAAATGTACAGCGGAGGACATGGTCTGGATATAACAATTCACAAGAGTTATGATGTACTTTGCAAGCAGAGTTCATCATATTGTGGAGGTGACATGGGGGAGGAGACAGGACACATTATACATCAGTCTTCACTACCTTTTTTCAAATTGTTCTCTTTATCCATTAGTAATAAGCAGTCAAGGGTGACTTTTATCTGTAAGGGTCTAATCCTGTAGCAGCAATGCAAGGATCCTGAGACTCCTCCCCACACATCTCCTTCCACCCTCACTGGCAGAATCACGTGGAAACTGGGAAGTGCTTAGGGTGCCGTAGACAACTGGGTGATGCTTCCAGATGACTTTAAATGGTGAGGACCTAGGGCTGGCTTCACCCTAGATCTGGGCTGCATTGGGTTGGTGGCCAGCTGGTTGGCTAAGTATCCAACTGTTCCACCAAAGGGCTTTCCTCATGCTGCCTCATCCCTGCTCCAGCACACCCTATCCAGTCCTCACTCAGCCCACCATGGGAGCAAGAATCCAGAGGGCAAAGGCTTTCTTCTTTCCCAAGCCCCAACTTGATATGAACTAAAGCCCTCAGTGTCCCCCTGGCCCCTGCCACTGGGTACTGGGATGAGTCCCTCCTCTTTAAATGGGTGACCTATAACCATGCACCAAACACCTCACTGTCACACTCAACTCTGATCCCAAAGTAGATGTGTAAAAAAAAGTTGAGGAGGGTTTGGGGAAGAAAAGAGAAGCAGACTCACCCTGTGCTCTGCCCTCTCAATGTCTGAGAGAGGCAAGTCTTGCAAAGAGATCAACCTCAGTGCCCTCATGCTGGCTGAAGTCTGGGGCTCTGCTGTCCAGCTAAGGCTCATCTGGCAAGGAAAGGCACTGTGCCTGCACAGTCGGCAGCATGGCACAGAGCACCCTCAGGGTATCCATGTTCCTAGGGGACCCTTTCTGAGGGGATAATCTGCTTCTGCATCTGTTAAATAAGAAAGTGAGTGCTCAAGCGCTGCCTAATAATAGTGTCCTTTCCATACTTTGGGGAAATAATAAATATAACTAAACATATAGTACTTTCCATACGTCAAGCCTCATCTCACACTTCTTATGTATATGAACTCATTTAACTCCCCAAAACAATGCCACAAAGTTGGAAACAACTATTATTCCCATTTTTCAGGTGAG